TTTGAGACTTCAAAACCCAAGACTAGCAACATAAATTCCAAAAGCTTTTTTTGGCAAGCAGATACCAAACATGCATTTTCTAAGTCCAAGAGAAAGAAATGAGGAACAGTGCTTTTCTTTTCTGCATTCAGAGTTGCTGGGGCTATTCTCCATTCCCCGCTCCAGTTCCAAGGGCTCAGCCAGGCTTCCAGCTCCTGTGTTGCGTTGGCCTGACCAGGGCTTTTTGGCTATTGCTACAGTTGCCAGCTTCTGGGCTGTGAAGGTAACAGTTTGCAGAATGTGATTCGAGATCCCCTTTCCAAAATTATTGTTCTTCCTTCTTATCTGTTCCAAAAGCAGAACCATTTGATTCTTGATTAGTGGATGCAGGTGGAGGCAGAAGGCCCTACAAGTGACAGGTCAGGTCTTCATTAGCATACATGATTTTTTAGGCCAGTTGACTGGCAAGTTGATAAATACAGAAAGCAACATCCTGAGGTGTAAAGATACAAGGGCCGTAGAGAAAATAACAACAAATGTCAGTTGACTTTAGGCACCTCAATTTGAATCAAAGAAAAGGAAGGAGCCGGACGTGGTAGCTCACTCACACCTATAATAGCAGCAGTTCAGGAGGCCAAGGCAAGGGGATAAGGGGATTACTCGAGCCCAGGAAAGTTTGAGATCCGTCTGGACAACATAGGGAGACTCCATCTCTTAAAAAAAAATAGCCAGGTGCAACTGGCACCTGCCTGTAGTCTCAGCTACTCTGGAGGCTGAGGTGGGAGGATTGCTTGGCCCCAGGAGATCAAGGCTGTAGTGATCTATGACTGTGCCATTGCACTCTAGTCTGCGCGATAGAGTGAGACCCTGTCTCAAAAAAAAAAAAAAAAAAAAAAAGAAAGAAAAGCTGAAAAAGGCACCCAGCAGAAGAGAGAGATGTCTAGAGGAGAGAAAATGAAGCTTACGATGTTGCCGTGGCCTGACCTCTTCTAGAGGTGGAATTGACTAGTTTCTGATTCTCTAAATACAGATGAGGAAAATTGAAAAGAGGAAATAAAAATCAGAAAATGTATATCAGTTTCAAAAACAATTTGACTCAAAAAAAGCTGTAAGATACTAATCTGTGTTGACTCACAGCAAATACTCATAAACAACTGATCTCTCTAATAAAGTCACTCAGCTTTTTAACTTTTTTTTTTTTAAAGCTATAACATCACTTTAGAAACTGACAAACTTCAGAGAGAGGCAAAGAAACTGTTACTGACATTTCTTAATCCACACATTTATGGTCAATTGATTTTTGACAAAGGTGACAAGAACACACAATGGGGAAAGGATAGTCTCTTCAACAAATGGTGTTGGAACAAATGGCTCTCCAGAGGCAGACAAACTAAATTAGACCTTTGTCTCACACCATATACAAAAATCAACTACTCAAAATGGATTAAAGACCTAACCATAAGACCTGAAACTATAAACCTAATAGAAGAAAACACAGGAGAAAAGCTGCATGACATTGGTCTAGCCAATGATATTTTTGGATATGACCCCCCAGAAGCACAGGAAACAAAATCAAATATAGACCACTGGGATTGTAATTTAGTTTGTGGTCAAACTAAAAAGCTTCTATACAGCCAAGGAAACTTTCAGGAGTGAAGAAACAACCTACAGATTGGTAGAAAATATTTGCAAAGCAAAGAAAAAAAACCCAACAAGATAGAAGAAAAAGAAAATATTTGCAAAGCATACATGTGATGAGGGGTCAAAATCCAAAATGCATAAGAAACTCAAACAACTCATTGGTAAGAAAAGTAGGAAACCAACTAAAAGATGGGCAAAGCATCTGAATAGACATTTCTTAAAAGAAGATATACAGGCTGGGTGCGGTGGCTCATGCTTGGAATCCCAGCACTTTGGGAGGCTGAGGTGGGTGGATCACGAGGTCAGGAGTTTCAGACCAGCCTGTCCAATATGGTGAAACTCCGTTTCTACTATAAAATACAGAAATTAGCTGGGTGTGGTAGCACATGCCTGTAGTCCCAGCTACTTGGGAGGCTGAGGCAGGAGAATTGCTTGAACCCAGGAGGAGGAGGTTGCGGTGAGCTGAGATGGTGCCACTGTATTCCAGCCTGGGCGACAGAGTGAGACTCCATACCAAAAAAAAAAAAGATGTGCAAATGACCAATACGTGTATTGAAAAATGCTCAATATCACTAATTATCAGAGCAATGTGAATTGAATTGAAACCACAATTAGATACCCTGTTAGAGCACCTGTTAGAACAATCAAAAAGACAAAAGATAACAGGTGTTAGAGAGGACGTGGAGAAAAGGGAATCTTGTGCACTGTCAGTGGGAAGGTAATTAGTATAGCCATTATGGAAAACATTATGGAGGTTCCTCAAAATTAGAACGACCTTAAAAATAGAATGATGATCTAGCAATCCCCCTACTGGGTATATATGCAAAATAAATTAAATCAGTATGTTGAAAAGATATCTGTATTCCCATGTTCATTGCAGCACTATTCACGATAGCTAAGATATGGGATCAACCTAAGTGTCCATCAATAAATAAATTATTTTTTAAAATTTCCCAGATTAATGTTCTTAATTTAGAGAAATTAATTTTTAAAATGTGGTATATATACTTGATACGGTTTGGTTGGCTGTGACCCCACCCAAATCTCATTTTGAATCGTAGCTCCCACAGTTCCCACATGTCAGGGGAAGGACCTGGTGGGAGGTAGTTAAATCATGGGTGTGTTTGCCTTTCCCATGCTGTTCTCATGATAGTTAAGTCTCACGAGATCTGACCGTTTTATAAAGGGGAGTTTCCCTGCACCAGTTATCTCCTGCCTACTGCCATGTATGACATGCCTTTCACCTTTCACCATAATTGTGAGGCCTCCCCAGCCTTGTGGAACTGTGAGTCCATTAAACCTCATTTTCTTTATAAATTATCCAGTTTCAGTTATGTCTTTATCAGCAGCAGGAAAATGGACTAATACAATATTACACAATGGAATACTATTTAGCCTTAAAAAAGAAAGGAAATTCTGTTTTTTTGCAAAAACATGGATGAAGCTTGAAGACATTAAGTGAAATAAACCAGGCACAGAAAGGCAAATACTATACGACCTCGAATATATAAAACACCTGGTTTTATCATGTTTCGCTGTATTGTGCTTCACAAATATTATGGTTTTTACAAATTGATGGTTTTCGGTAACCCTGTGTCAATCCAGTCTGTCAGTGCCATTGTTCCAACAGCATGTGCTTACTTTGTGTCTCTGTGTCACATTTTGGTGATTCTTGCAATATTTCCAATGTTTTCATTATTATTATATCTGTTCTGTGGATCTGTGATCGGTGATCTTTAACATTTGTAATTATTTTGGGGCTTTGCAAACTGCATTCATATAAGACAGTGGATTTAGCTGATAAACATGTGTGTTCTGACAACTCCACCAACCAGCGTTTCCTCATCTCTCTCTCTCCTCAGACCTCCCTGTTCCCTGAGATACCAATATTAAAATTAGGCCAATTAATAACCCTTTAGTGGCCTCTAAGTGTTCAAGTAAAAGGAAGAGTCACATGCCTCTCACTTTAAATCAAAAGCTAAAAATGATTAAGCTTAGTGAGGAAGGCATGTTGAAAGCCAAGGCAGGCTGAAAACTAGGTCTCTTGTGCCAAACAGTGAGCCAACTTGTGAATGCAAAGGGAAAGCTCTTGAGGAAATGAAAATTCCACTCCAGTGAACACACAGATGATAAGAAAGCAACACAGCCTTATTGCTGTTACGAAGAAAGTTCCAGTGGTCTGGATGGAAGATCAAACCAGCCACGACATTCACTCATGCCAAATAACTTTTCCATTGACTCTTTCAAATGGGTTCTTCCTAAGTTGGACAGATTGAGTGAATAATCGGACAGAGGAATCAGCACTGAATCTGAAAGTTTATAACTGCAAGCACTTAGATGATGGTTAACAAGCTGAATTCAGAAATTGTAGAGAGAATTTTGGAAGGATTTTCTATGGTACATTTATTTAATATAAAAGACACCCCAACTTTTTGTAGTATATGTATGTTAACTCTTCCAGAACATTTTCTTTCAAAACTAAGTGTAAATTTAGGTCTCATACATTTGAAAGACAGGAATTTCCAGCTCTAAAAAGACTACGTGTTACACAGAGTTTTAAAAATACCTGTTTTGCGTAATAGCTGATACTTTCCAGGAAAGGACTGGAGAACTTTCTGTGCTCACGGTTGGAACTATCCACTTAATCTATTTTTAGCACAGAAAATGATTTTAAAAGCATTGTTTTTAGGAACTTGAAACCTTGGGGAAGAAAATTTGGATTTAAAGGACTGACTTCTGGATACTTGTGGGTGGTGGTAATACAATTTTTCACGCTTGTATTTCTCGAGCTTTGGTAGGAAGTTGAGGCATGTTGGCGTTCACATGCTTGCACATTGTAACAGTCTAGGAATTTTGTTCAAAATACAAAACAAACATATCATCTTTTCCAAGTGTTGACATTGCCATAGGAATGTGTTTTTATTTCTGTTTTTGAAAGAGGGTTTTAATATCCTGTGCAACACTTACTGACAGTCCTATCAGACTTGGTAGCAGTTTCCAGGAGTAGAATAACTATCAAGACTGGAAATTTGCAGGAAGACAGTGAAACACATTCTGCATGGCTATAAGTAGCTGTTTCAGAGTCTAAAATAATGAAGTAAAGGTGATGATATTTCAAAGACATTTCAAACATTAAATGACTTGTAGATTTTGTGTGTGTGTGTGTGTGTGTGTGTGTGTGTGTGTAACAATCAAGGCTACACAAATAGATTGTTTCCGGGGGCAATGTGATGTATAAACACAATTTGGTGCTTGTTCCACTGAACTTCTGGCTTCTAATTCTAACAGGATTCTTTATTGGGTCCTTTAGAAAGACTTAAGATTTTTCACTTAGATAAAAAAATACTTGAATGGTAATTGACATTTCTTTTTTCTAACAGATGGTGCTATCTTGCTGCCAACGATTCCACGGCAGACCCTCCAGGTAAGTCCTTTTCTCTAGTTATCAGCTTTGCATGTTCAGTACATTGGCCCATGAGCCAATTGGATATCATGATGTCTTCAACAAAGTCTCTTTAAAAACGCTCTAATAATACATGTATTTAATTCCTCAATAATTTCCTTTCATTCATTTTTTTCTCTTTATTAAAAACCAGGCATATCATAGACATATCACTTGCTCCTGGCTTGTGAATACGCTTTGTTTGACTTGGCTGTGGTTAGATTAAAGGAAGGTATTCATGAACACAGCCAGACTGTGTTGACCTAAAATACCAAAGAGAGTTTGAATAACTCTGCTATGTACAGCTCTTACTATTTAAAATGGAAAAGATAGCTTTATTGTGTGAGAACCTTTCAGAAGCTGAAGTCACCTGATGACCTCTCCAGGTCTCTTTCAGTTTTGTGATTTCTCGACACCGCGATTTTTGAGTTGTATTCGGCCTATTAAAGTTGTCGAACACAACATGTAAATGTAGATCTAGCTAACAGCAGTCATTTGCATCTCCTTGGCCAATTTTCTGTTGAATACTGCCACCTTTAATGGAATAGCTTAAAAATTAAATGTACATATAATAATTATATTGGATTATATTAAATAGTTAACAAAGTATGTCTTTATAGAGCAATTTTAATTTCATCACTCGTTATCTTTTAACTTTTTACCTTGACAAATGTCAAACATATATGCAAATAGTAGGAATAGTGTAATAGCATATAGGTATCTTGGGTAGGTACCTAGTTTTTGAACTGCTCCTCAATTCCATTATCCATCCTCCAGCTTCACTCATTGTAAATATATTGCCATCTCGTTTTATCTATGGTTCCCTATCTCTGACACCACATTGGTTGTTTTTTATAGCTTTATTGAGCTATAATTTTGTTATATTATTATCATTTTTACAATTAGGAGCATCTTTTCATAGTTTTATCAATAACTGTATTACCATTGTCACACTGTGCTCTGGTCTGAATGTTTATTTATTTATAATTTTGAGATGGAGCTTTGCTCGGATTGCCCAGGCTGGAGTGCAGTGGCGCAATCTTGGCTCACTGCAACCTCCGCCTCCTGGATTCAAATGGTTCTCCTGCCTCAGCCTCCCAAGTAGCTGGGATCACAGGCATGTGCCACCACCATGCCTGGCTAATTTTTGTATTTTTGGTAGAGATGGGGTTTCTCCATGTTGGTCAGGCTGGTCTCGAATTCCCAACCTCAGGTGATCCACCCCCCTCAGCTTCCCAAAGTGCTGGGATTACAGGCATGAACCACCATGCCCGGCCTATTATTATTTTAAATAGAGCTGGAGGTCTCACTATGTTGTCTAGGCTGGCCTTGAACTCCTGAGTTCAATTGATCTTCCTGGCCTGGCCTCCCAAAGTGCTGGGACTGCAGATGTGAGCCACTAAGCCCAGCCTATAATTTTACCTTCCATGAATTTAATCAATTGTAAGTGTATAACTCAGTTATTTTAGATTAATTTCTAGAGTTGTGAAATGATCACTCCAATCTAGCTTTGGAATATTTCCATGATATTTCCCTGGGTCTGTTTGCAGTGAATCCCTACTTTCTCACCCAGTTCCAAGTAACCACTAATCTACAAATTGCCCCTTTCTGGACACCTCATGTAAATGTAATCATACACTATGCAGTCTTTTGCATCTGGCTTCTTTTACTCAGCATAAGGCTTTTGGTGTAATGTCCACCCATGTTACAGCATGTAGTAATAGTTCATTCCTTTTTGTTGTTGAATTGTATTTTATTATATGGATATGTTACATTTTCATTATCCATTCATCAGCTGATTGACATTAGCATCGTTTCCAGTCTGGGGCTATTATGTTGTGTATAATGCTGTTGTAACCATTCATGTGAAAGCTCTTTTGTGAACATGTATTTTCCTCTCTCTTGGGTAGTTACCTAGTTGTGAAATTGCTGAATTGCTTGGTAAGATTATATTTACCCTTTTAAGAAGCTGCCAAACTGTTCCTCAAATGGCTGTACCATTTGTATTCCCAGAAGAAACCACATTCTCACCACCATTTGGTATTATCTGTCCTTTTTAGATAGCTGTGCTAATGGGTGTATAGTGTTATCTCATAGTTTCTAATCATCTTTTAAAAACATCTATTACATTTGTTGAATGAGGCTAGTTTTTTCTTTGTCCCAGATGACTTTTCTAATTTCTAGGTATTACAAAGAATCCTGAGTTAGTAATTAATGTGTTCACCTCCATGTATCAATCAAAACTTTCAAACTGATTTAAATTTGAGGCAACTCTGTCTCTCCCTCCACTCCCTGCCCTCACACGCAGCTGGGGAAGGCCAGCAGAGGCCAAGAAGGTGAGGCTAGCTTTCCTTCTTTTCCTCCTTATCCTTTGTTTTGAGATGCAGTCTTGCTCTGTCGCTCAGGCTGGAGTGCAATGGTGCAATCTTGGCTTCCTGCAATCTCCACCTCCCGGGGTCAAGCAATTCTCCTGCCTCAGCCTCCTGAGTAGCTGAGACTACAGACATCTGCCACCATGCCCGGCTAATTTCTGTATTTTTGCTAGAGACGGTGTTTCACCATGATGACCAGGCTGGTCTTGAACTCCTGACCTCTGGTGATCCACCCACTTCAGTCTCCCAATGTGCTGGGATTACAGGCATGAGCCACTGCCCCAGCCTCCTTCTCCCTCTTAACTTCTCCCCTTAATTTGCTGCTATGAAGGTGAGACAGGGAAGAGGCAGGGAGCAAGCAAGTCCTTCCCCATCAGGGACTGTCAGGCGGCACAGCATTTTCTGGGCTGCTGGGCTTTAAGGCTGACTCTACGTTACGCCCCTCCATTCTCTCACACGTAGACAATACATTTCCAGGCTCGCTGCTAGTTTATTCCCTTGGGAGCTAGAAATCTTATAATTACTTCTTTTATTTGTGGAGCTATTTTTGCCCCTGTAGTTTACCTTTCTGGGTAGGACCTAAAATAAACCCCTCATAGGAGGCCCACATCTGTGCTTTAGAAAACATGAACTCATTTTTGCCCCCCAAATGCTGTAACCACTGGTGACCCAACCCCACCGTCACTTCTTCAGCTCTCCCATCTTAGCCAGCCATCTCTTCTCTCTCACTTGAGATTTCTCAGCAGATATTAGAAAAGAGTCAGCTGACAGCCTAAACTGGGAGATCCCAAGGGGCTTGGGGAGAGGGATGGGCATCTCCAGTGCTGCCACACTTGGCAGCTTGGCAGGGTGTGGGCACACAGAGCACTCACGTCTGAAAGATTCCAATCTCCTCTTTCTTATCTCCTTAGTGAGGCGAGGGATTCAAAGTTATATGCCTGTTTTTGTGTGAAATCCTTTAGAAATTTGCATGTTGTTTGATACTTCACTCTGGCATATCTATTATATGTTCAGATAGGTCTGAGTGATAACATAAGTCACTCTGGCATATCTATTATATCTTGAGATAGGTCTGGGTAATGTAGCCAAAGATAGGTCATGTGAGTGTGTGTGTAAAAAAAAATTTATATATATATATATATATAACTATATATATAATACTATTTTTATTCTATCTTCCTAGAGTTGTAAAACACAATTATTCTGACTGCAGTCATTTGCTCTTTAATTGAAAAATTATCTATGTTGATGAATACACATCTGCATGTATGTGTATATATATACATGCACATATATGTTACATATATACATATATATGATCTATATATTTATCTACATATATAAATTCTCCAACACAGAAATAATTTTTTTTTTCAATCAAATAAAGGGCAGTGACTGAAGTCAGAATAACTGTGCTTGACACTTCTAGGAAGATAGACTAGGAAAGCAGTGGGTCATGAGCTATGAGCTTTGAGTTTGCTGTCTAGTTCTGTGTGGCTTAGACACACTTCTTAACCTCCCAGGGTCTAGCTTTTTGTTAAAATTAAGGAAATAATACATTTCTTCTTGGATATTGTAAGGATTTTCTTAAAAAGCATATGAGGGTGGGTGCGGTGGCTCATGCCTGTAATCCCAGCACTTTGAGAGGCCGAGGCATGTGAATCACCTGAGGTCAAGAGTTTGAAACCAGCCTGCCCAACATGTGAAACCCCGTCTCTACTAAAAATATAAAAATTAGCTGGGTGCATGCCTGTAATCCCAGCTACTTAGGAGGCTGAGGCAGGAGAATCACTTGAACCTGTGAGGCAGAGGTTGCCATGAGCCAAGATTATGCCAGTGCACTTTAGCCTGGGCGACAGAGCCTGACTTCACCTTGGAAAAAAAAAATCACATGAAAACTACCCAGCCCAGTGCCTGGCATGTAGTACTTGCTTCAATTACTGTGAGTTACAAAGTCAGATGACTGTATTAGTCAGCCAGGGCTGCTGTATGAGAAACTACAGACTGCGTGGCTGAAATGAGCAAAATTTATTTCCCTCAGAGTCCTGGAGGCTCAAACCCCCCAACTCACTAAGGATGTAAAAGGGCAAGAAGAAAGCGGACTCAACGATCTTAGATGTGGGTATTTAATGTGCCTCCCACGCCCTGCTGAGTGGAAGCCTTGGAGATGCCTGTCCCTCCTGCCAGGACTCCTAAGGGGGGCCTCGTTGGGGTCTCTCTGTTTGGACTGTCAGCTGACTGCCTGTTCTCCGATTCTCAAATTAGAAATCTAAAGTGAGAGAGAAGAGATGCCTGCCTTACTGATGGAAGAGCCAAAATAGATGAATTTTGGGGTAATGCAATTCAGCCCATAACAATAATTAAAAAGGGCTGGGCACGGTGGCTCAAGCCTGTAATCCCAGCACTTTGGGAGGCCGAGGCGGGTGGATCACGAGGTCAAGAGATGGGACCATCCTGGTTAACATGGTGAAACTCTGTCTCTATTAAAAATACAAAAAATTAGCTGGGCATGGTGGCACGTGCCCATAATCGCAGCTACTCAGGAGGCTGAGGCAGGAGAATTGCCTGAACCCAGGAGGCAGAGGTTGCGGTGAGCCAAGATCACGCCAT